TCTTAATGTAGAAGCTCTTTTGGCACTTCCTTCAGTGTGCACTGCTGCTACAGCATGAACACCATGTGCATGTGTTAATAAAGGGGAGACTGATGCCTTCAGCAACCACACACACAGGAGTTACCCTTTTTCTTTCTGCTAGTCCGAACCTTAAGAATTTCGTGTCTCACAAGAGGGCGGGTATTCTGTCGCGAGATTCCATGTTGGTGTAGCATGACGTTCATGAGTTCTTCACTGCCATTTCAACGTTAACACTCCTAACTTGTCTACTACACCTATATACAGAATATCACTTTGCCTGCCATTTCTTTGTTTCTTTCATGCCGAAGGTTTGTCTTACTAAATCAGATCTCAAACTGCACGTTGAAAATAAATAAAAATTCTTGGTGAACATAAATGATGGTGGGAGGGGGGAAATCTTCTCGAGTTTGTCAGTGTTTTGTGTTGGGAAGTCGCTGCCTGGTGCTGTCCTGCGCGCACCGCCGGCTCCCTGGCCGTGTCCTCTGCAGCTCCGGGCTTGGCCGTACCAGGGGGGAGCGGGGTGGACTGATGTGTGTTTGCACTAACTGTTGTGTTGTTGCGTTGTTAACAGTTCGCATGGACTCATGTCACTTTGCTGATCACTGTAACTCAATCTCATCTTGTCATCCAAAATCTGTTTGAAGGCATGATCTGGTAAGGGGACAGCACTAAACTGGTTCACAGTTGTGTTGCGTTGCAGGGTCGGTGCTTTTACGCAGTGAATAATCGCGAAAACGGTGAAATCGGCACCAAGCAAAGGAGCGTTTGTGCCGGGGGAACTGCGGGGCGTGGGGAGCAGGAGGCGAAGGACGAGGGGCAGGATGCAGAAACCTCCTCAACCAGGCAGCCAGCAGTACAGAGGGCACAGAGCAACTGCCTAATCCCCTTGCAGGGCCTAGGGTGCTTGCCTGCACAGCGAGCTGTTTTTCATAGTATTTTGTTAGACAGAAGTACAAGTGAAGATGGATTTTTTTGGAATTTCAAAATGTCTGAATACCCAACAGTTCTCTGGGAATCATTTGTGAGCTTTGGTTTGCTCAGTGCTCTGGGGGTTGAGCCCTTTCACTGGGGCCATTAAGTCTGGCTGGAAGCAAACTGCGTCCTCACAGAGATTTTAAACATCAAAAAGCTCTGATTTTTCCCAATATCTTTTAAAATGTGAGCTTATTTCAGCAAGCAACCAATGTAATTTTAGCAAGCAAAGCATCATAGAATGCTAGTGTTATACCACTCGTCCTGTTTAAATGGAGTTCACCTAAAGTAATAGTAGGCAGCCCTTTCCTGCTACATTTCAGGAGTCTCTTGAGCCAAGACTTGTATTGTAGAATGGGGGAATTCTGACTATGGGCTTCCCTTAGTTCCATATGTTCAAATCAATTCAAATTGCTTTAAATAATTTATAGGTTTAAATATGGGATGTTGTTTGGTCATCTTGATGCCCGCATCCAGCTATATTCAGCTGTGAGGATGCAAGTAAAGTCAGTTTCTCAGAAGTGTACCTTACTTCAAAACGAAGAGTTCAAATTATTGGTTGAGAAATACATGGGGTATATTTCCTCACCCCTTACTTCAAAAAGAAGAGTTCAAATTATTGGTTGAGAAATCCAGTACAAGTATGTGGAAGAAAATCTGTGTTCTTGCAAGTACTCGATATTTTATGTACCCCTTTTTATTTTCCTGATGCATTTTTAACTGTGGGGCTTGTTGCAGAAAAGTTGTGCTTGCAGTTGGAAACACAAATCAAAGCCTTTGGTCGGGTTCAAGGGTTCTTATATAAACATTTTTTTTTCTCCATAGAAATCTTGCTCACGTGCCAAAACCTGAACCTTGCCAGTTTACTATTTTTTATTTTAATTTCAGCTACTATTGCATGGGGTAGTTAGGCAGATTGTCACAAAATCTTAACTTAGCTCATTAATCCATCTCGGCGTTGGAAAGGGGAAAAGAGAAGCTGACAGACTTGGGTTAGAAACGCAGATGCCCTCCACGTTCAGGCAGCAGGGATTTGCATTAAGAAAGCTAATGCAGGCTGCCTCAAACTACTAATTTAAGGCAAAAGGAAAGGAAAAGAAACTTCATTTGTTTAGACTTCGCTGAACTGTGCTATAAGGAGTTAACTTGCATTAATATGTATTTATTTCTGTTGCTTTCTTCATAACTGTAGTATCAGCGGTCAAGTCTGATTGAAAATGTCAGCCCATTCATGCTTAAGTTTGTTTGCCAAAATCGGATTTTATACCTTGAATTAATGTGGATCCCTACCAGTCTTGACTGGCTGAATATTAAAAGCAGTAGAGCTAAATATGTTGCATGTGGGGCAACTACTAGTTGAGCAGAGCATGAAACCTGTTTTTAAAAATAAACATTTCCTGAACAAAAATGCTGTTGTATAAATTTTAAGTTTTAGACTGTGGCAACTTTTTTTTTTTTCCTGAAACTCTCTATATTTCTGTGTAGGTTTCTGGTTCCAATTTCAAGTGTCATTTGCAATGATATTACTGCTTACATTTTTGGCTTCTTCTTTGGCAGAACTCCATTAATCAAGGTATTTATTTCATTTTTAGTTTACAGTATTTGCTTTATTTCTCCAGCAATATATTCATGGAATACTTTTAGATGTATTGAATGTTAGACATAGTTGATAAAAATAAAGTAGTTTCTCCCGTTTCTAAAGATTCATAAATGGATCTTCAGCTGGTGACGTCCGTTATTTCACAGATACCTTTGAAAACCCAAGTAAATCAATTTTGGTAAATGAGATCCAGAAAAATAAAATAAAAGCCCACTTTATTGATACAGTTATGTTGTCTGTTTTTGCTTAGTTGTCCCCCAAAAAGACCTGGGAAGGATTCATTGGAGGCTTCTTTTCTACAGTGGTATTTGGATTTATTGTAAGTAACCAAAGGGTTTTGTTTAAACAACTTATCTCTTACTGCTGGAGTTATTTTATCTATTAGTTGCTTCTCTATCTTTTAATTGCATCTATTTGATTGCATTATTCATCTTTCTAAAATGACATTTTTGTGTTACGTACTTCATGGTATGAATTCTTCTGGTAGGATACTCGTAGGTTTAGACAGGTGGTTTAAACTGATGATGTGCCTACAAAAAAATAACAACATTAAGTAGCTGCTCTGACCTGTAACTTATTGCCAAGGCCAGTAGAATTTATTCTAATTGGAAAGTAAACTATAAAGAAATAACAAGTCATTGATGGTGGCTAATGTTTTGGGATTTCTTTTATTTATAATGCAGAAACGGAAAGTAAATGCAAACATGAGATAAGAAAATCAAGCTGGGATTCAAGTATTCAGTGCCCATGCTTGCCTGATCTGTTGAGACATTCTCTAACCTGGAGAAGTGTCTCTTACCACAGGGATTTTTCATTATCCTTGGCTTGACGTCTCCAGGTCATCCATTACAGCCTCATTCTGACTTTAACAACAAATGCATATTTCTCCTCCTCTTTTGCTTTCAGTTTTCCTATTTTTTGGCTCAACATCAGTACTTTGTTTGCCCAGTGGAATATAATAGTGAAACCAACAGATTTGTGACGGAGTGCGAACCTTCAGAGCTCTTCCAGATGAAGAAGTACTCGGTGCCACCGCTGCTTCAGGCTGTGTTGGGATGGGTAAGGAAACAGCAAGGCTTTAGTTAACACTGAAACTGCATTTCCCAGTTTAAACTTTTTGCTAAACCTTTTTTTAGAAAGGTTTACACTGGGCAGGCTTGGAAGGGTAAGGCCAGAATCAGTGCTGTGGGCCTGTGTGTGGCACTCTGCAAGAACAGCCAGTATCTGCTGTGCTAAATGCAGCAGAGGTTTGTCCGGGCCCAGGTTAACAGGCTCTGAGGACTTCACTCATTTGCAGCTGCTGGACTGGATTTATTTTGTCAAATAGCACCTTGTGGGTTAACTTCTGCCACTACTTCTGTGCCGGCTGAAAAAGATTCTTGACACTAATTCCACGTCATTTCCTCACCCACCCTTCTCCTGCACCCAGTTCACAAGTTCTTCCAGGTGGGCTGTCTCCTTCCCTGTCAGGAAGCAGGTCTGCAGTCATGGCACTAGCAAAAGCGGCACTTCCTGCGTCACAGACTCTAGAGGAACTCGGCCGGGAAGAGGATGCCTAGCAGGAGTAAAAGAGTCTCTCATAGCCTTTCCTTTAGGGTAAAGAGGAGATGATAAACACAGAACCCGCTTGGTAGCAATTCCTCTTCTGCCTGTCCATGGGTTCAGCACAGAGAATGAGTAGAGAACACCAAGCAGGACCGCAGACATTGCCCGTGTTTAGCTTTAATATCTCACGGGGAAAGTCCATTGGGTTGTGGTAACAAGCCCCAGGTTCAGGTAAGTGTTGTAGTATTCCCTTGCAAAAACTGAAGACTAAAGGGAATGTATGGCTACAGTTGCTTTTTCTTAAAAGCAAATCTACATCTAAAAGAAGCTCTTAGTTCACTCTGGATGAGAGCATCATTATTCAGAGAACTGAGGTTTTGGGGCTGCTGATTTAGTTACAAGCTTAATAAAAAGACTTTCATAATGTGAACTGAGCAAAGAGCAGCATCCTATTTTGTCCAGCTCTGCTGTGCCTTTCAGTAAAGGACAAGGGGAAGAGAATGTGACCCAGCTCTAGGATAGTTTAACAGGTGTCAGTTAACCCTAGAAAAGATGATAGTTTCCCATGCTCTATTGGCTCCGTTTGGCCAAACTCTGAGAAGCTTTGAGGACAAAATCAGTTTTACCACTTAATTTGACTTTTTTTTTTTTTTCCAATTCACTTATTTCTGCAATGACCCTTTTTTCCATTATTCAGCTGCTGATGTTCTCTCTCAGAATTATAGCAGGGTGTCAGCCTGGGAGTCTTCTTGCTTGGTGTAAGACATGTTGAGCCTTGTGCTTTTCCCAGCAAAATAACCTTCTTAATATGCCAAGTCAACACAAGTTTTCCATTTGACCACATGACTAGTTAGCCCCAACCAAACTTGGCTCGAAATTGCTGCCCAGAATATTTGCAAAGATAGGTGGTGTTGGCTGTGATGCAAACTGGAGTGCAAGATTTGGGAATTCCCAACCACAGCTCAGGGAAGAGACAGTACTCCCCCAAAGGCAGAACTTAGTGTCACTGCCTTGGAAGTGCTCAAAGGTGAGTTGAGCAAAAAAATTACCTACCTTGTTTCTAATCTGTCAGGAAGGAAGGCAGGTGCCTGCTGGCAGGGAAATCTTTCCACTCTGCAAGTACTTAAGAGATCAAAACAAACTTGAAGTCTGTGGACAAGATGAAGGGAACAGTATGTGTTCAAATGCAAAGGCAGAAGTATTAATGGAGGCAAAGCTTTTATTTCTTTATTTCTTGCTATTATGGTGTAAGTGTCAGCATGGGAAATTGATGCTAAATTCACATCTGTCTCCTGAGACCACTTGAGTGACTGTGATAGTGAGTTGAGTGAAGGTGAACAGTTTGCTTAGAGCATTCAGCCACTTAGTCTGCAGAATTATCTAGGAAATTGTGGAAAATTCCTTTCTCTGCAGGAAATGCAAGATGCCAGGAAGGAAACTGGATAAGCAGAGCAAGTGAAGGCTTAGAGTCCCATTGTGTGTTATAAAGCTAGTGATTATATATAGATATATATATACACACACACACACATATATATATATATTTGTTTAACTAAAGGATTGTCCACAGAATACAACATTTATCCAGACTGTTTGACTGTTCCAGCAGCCCTGCACGCTCCATGCTGTTCCCGTAAACCTGCCTTCAGCAGTAGTCTCCAATGTATCTGCACTCTTCCTTTCTGTAAAGTATTACCCTCTCTCAGGAAAGCCGGGTGCTCGAAGGTACTTAAGCTGAAATGTCTGCAATCTTGGAACCTTTTGAAAGACTTTGCTTGCTATTTGCCTTGCAGGAGTCGGTCAATATGTACCCGTTTCAGATGCACAGCATTGCGTTGGCAACGTTTGCCTCTCTAATTGGCCCATTTGGAGGATTCTTTGCAAGTGGATTTAAAAGAGCTTTCAAAATCAAGGTGAGTACTCCCTCCTGGGAGCTGCTTTTGCTTTGGTTGTCCTCTTCGAGCTATGTGGGGGGTTGAGATTATTGATTGCAGTGATATTGCATAGTCTTCCTAGTAAGATGAGATGCTGAGGTTCTTTATTAGCTTGAGTAGCAGGACTTTGTTTTATCAGATGTTTCTGCATATTATTCTTAAAACTCTGTAATCAACGTAGGACTCAGTGTTGGCAATTTAGTACTTTATTTTCATATTTTCATTGATACTTACTCTTCCAAATCATGGCTCAGAAGTGCTCTTGGCAAACAAGATGTGATATTGCAAGTTTTGTAAGCTGAACGGTGACCTGTGGCCACCTGGCAGTCGCTTACCGCAGTTTTCCCTTCAAGTGCTGGCTGCACGTCTTGTACCAACGTACTGGTGTCCACACGGATGGAGACGTGTCGGGCTCCTCGAGGCGAGGACGTTTGGCCGCCTTGCTGCAGTTTGTGTCCTGCTGCTAAGCCTGGGTGCTCCCTGTGTGCAGCAGTTTTGGCCTGCGGACCCCCCTCTGCGCGGTGCTTCCTTAGGGGGGCTCCCGCTTGCTCCCTGCACCCGTGCGTGCTCGATGCTCGCGCTGCTCTGGAGGCACTTGGCTGCCTGCAGCCTCGCGTGCTGCCCTGCCAGAGCAGCAGAGAAATCTGGGTATCATAATACCAGAGAATCTGGGTATCATAAATATGTCTTTTGAGTCTTGTTTGCATCAGAAATTTTTCAAAGTGATAAATATTTTTTTCCCTACTTAGTTTTGCTTAAGTATATTTATATTGCATGCCTGTTTCATGCTTTTGAATGATGTTTGCCAGGAGGTCAATGAAAAGCAGGCAGGTGAATTGGCAACAGAATTTTCAAAGAGGGTGTTAAACAGCAAACAGAATTCTCAGGTTGCCACTTCTCTTGCCAATACCAGTTCCTGGGGCAGCCACTGGAGGACCAAGCAGTAGCAGTGTTTTAGTAGTTTGCTGCTGCGTAGGCAGCGAACAGGAGCAGCCCCTGAGGAGGTTTGCTGGTTCCTGTACCGACACGCGCCCAGACAGGGTCCTGGCAAGGCCGCCCCAGACCTGCTGCTGGCTCCTGGCGGCGCTGTGGCCAGGGCTCTTCATCCCTTGACCCTCTCCTCCCCCCGAGCTCGTGGTGGGGCTGGCGCTGAGGCGGGCCCGGCGCGCGAGGCGGTGGCTGCGCGGGGCCCGTGTGCGGCTGTGCCTGCGGGGCAGGAGCGCCGCTCCCCACCAGCGCTCACCGGGACCTTCTCTTTCCCCCCATCCCCACCCCTGACAGGATTTTGCTGACACGATCCCTGGGCACGGCGGGATCATGGATCGCTTCGACTGCCAGTACCTCATGGCCACTTTTGTCCATGTCTACATCACCAGTTTCATACGGTACGTACGGGTCTTTGGCGATCCGACCTGCTTACACCCTTCTGGGAGCTGTTTCAAACTTCTCGCACGTGTCCTGTTCTGCACCGTTGACCTACCAAGGTTGTTTCTAGAACCTGATTTGCAGATCTGTTAATTACCTTTCTGCTTAAGATATGATGAATAAAGAGAGGATGCAACTTGTTGAAAATATTCCCCATCTTCCCTGGACCACACCAACTTCTAAGAAGAAATCCTTGGAATGATAGTAGTATTAAATCTGGTCTCGAGTTCCTTGGGGCAGGAGGTATCAGAATTCATAAATGCCCTTAATGTTTATAAATGCATATGGGTAAATAATTACTAGCTACTGAATTGGCCACAGATTCTTTGTCTCATATTCAGCCTAGCTTAAAAGCTTCCTCTACACATGTGTATATGACTAATTGAATGTAGTGGCTACCTGAAAATGAAGCTGAAAATGTTGTTATTTAGAAAATTTTGGTTTAATTGTTGGGTTTCTTATCCGACCTGGCAAGCTTTTTGTTTATTTTGGCAATACACAGCCTATCCTGCAACAGATATTAAAAAAAAAAATCTTTTTATGTGAATATTGTGATTTTAGTGACAAAGAATGAATCCGTGAATCTTCTGTTTGTCCTAAACCTTCTAGTTATCCCCACAGGCAGCAAACATGGGAAGTGCTTTCCTGCTTATGTTCAGACTCAGCTGGGGAGGGTATTTGCACAGTGGTGCTTGCTAAAGCACTTGAGCGTCTTGAGGAGATTATTAGACTAAGCAAAGCTTTATTTTGGGGCCCCGGAGAAAGGAAAGAAAGTGTTTGAGAAAGAAGCTCTCTAAAAGTTGCTTTAGAACTGTTACTGATGGAATTTACTTTTTCATAGGGGTCCAAATCCCAGCAAACTGTTGAAGCAACTACTGATCCTTCAGCCAGAGCAGCAATTAGATGTCTATAAGACTCTGAAATCTCACCTGGTTGAAAAAGGGATCCTGCAGCCCTCTCTGAGAGGATAACTGGTCAGAACGAGGAGAGCAGGAAAACGCTGTTGCAGAGCCGGGGGTGGAAACGCGTCGCGACGTGCGCCGAGACGGGCAGCGCCGGAGGAGCAGCCCGCGGGCTGCAGGAGGGGTGTTTCCTTCCCGCAATCAGTGGGAGATCTGGGACTTCGCATAAGAACGCAGGAGATGTGGTACTCCTAACATAGCCAAAATGCTTGCAAAATAACCGTTCAGTTTCAGTGGGTTTCAGGAAATAAAATGAATGGCATCAGTCTTCCTACAGCACCCAGTTTGACAGGCTTCATCTTAAAACAAGCTAAAAAGGCAAAAACACAATTTATTTTAAATTGTCCAGGATTAGAGCCACAAACGTGGAAACAGTGAGACTGTACTGTCATGGAGATATTTATAGAACAAATTTTAATGAAATTTCCTCGATTCAGCTTTTGTTTTCAGTCAGTTCTGTCCTGCATGTCCCAGCAATGCTTGTTTGGTCTAAAATGCACCCTGAGGTATGCCATATCATTTGACAGCAGATCATCTTTTGCCTGCTCAAAGCAGTACTTACAGCTAGGCAAAGCCTGACTTCTAATATGTACTCATTTACTATGAAGGTTTAAACTCAGCTCGGTTTTTAATGAAATGGCTTCTCTTATGAAACCATTTCATGCTTCCAAGGGGGACGTGTCTTCACACTGGAGCTCCCTGGGTGCGGAGCTGCTCTTTTCTGCATTATGCTGTGGGTTATGAACAAGTGTGCGTGTCCACGAGTGGAGCTCCCCCGGTGAGATGGGGCAACCAGACACTTCTCCCAGCCAGGAAACTTGGCTTGGGGTTCTTGGTGTCCATGGGGGCACGGATTCAAGCCTGGTTCCTCGTGCCTCTTTCCTAACGTGCCGATAGGGGGGATTTTTCAAAGCACTTTGAAGTCCTGGGTTAAAAGTGAGGTTTAAGTGCTGTTTTATTTATGTGTTGTTCACTGAAGGGGGCAAACACTGACGTGATGAGTGTGCACTGTGCAGGGTGGGATGCCTGAGTCTTTGGTGCGTTACCATTTATTAAGACATGCAAGATCCTTGAGCAAACCTGGGCAGCAGTATGGGAGTGGGAATGAAGAATCTGTAGGGGAAGCAGCTATTCCATAGACTTTGTGGAACAAATGAGAGGAAGATTGATGTTCTTTAGTTCTCAAACATGGCTGTTTTCTAACTTTTTCTCATCATGTGACCTATTTTAATGCAAATTAAAACATAAAAGTTTTTTTTTGAGATAATGAAAATTACTTTTATGAACAAGAAGCACAAATGTCCAAATTTTATTTTAGTGTGCTGTAAAGTAATACAATTTAATTTTTCAGCCTACTGTAAGTCTCCTTACAATGAACGTATTGATGCTGCATATGTTTGTGTGGGGAAGGGGTGTGTGTGTGGGTGTGTGTGTATAGATATATATATATAAATTAATGCTTATATATATGTTAAAGGTGAAAGTCTTAAATGGTTGGTGCTACATGAAGAGGAGGGAACATGGAGAAAATGACTAGGGCAGGTGACAGGTTGGGTCTGTCACATCAGGGCTGGGTCTGTTTACGTGCGACGAGGCCCAGAGGCTGCTGCGCCCTCTGCTTTGCACGTAGGCCAGATCCTGTGCGTGCGGCTGGTGGCAGAAAGGCAGTCCCAGACTTTGTCCCGAGAGGGAGATGAGGAACGTCTGCTCCCCTGGGGCATCTGACACGGTGCCAGTAACGCGGTTCCCATTGCGACCTCCTTGTGGCTCTGCGCTGAAGGAGCACTTGGAATAACAGTGTCAGCTCTGCAGAGCGTGAGCAGCGCCGCGGTCGCGGGGCCGCCGCGCTTGTTAGCTGGCAGGACTCGAGTTTCGGCCCCTGCAGCCAGGGGCAGCGCGGCCAGGAGGGGCATCGGGAGCAGCGGTGCTGCAACAACAGGAAGGGGAGACGGGAGCACTCCGTACGCGGGGAAAACAGCAGAGATGGTTGTGGTTGCGCACGGGACTTCGGCAAGCACTGGTGTTGGAACGAAGCAAAATGGAGCTGCGTGTAAAAAATTATATATAATATAAATAGGCAATTGTAACTCCCGAAACTTGAACTTTTTAGTGTAATTTTATAGCATGTATAATAAAGAAGTGAAAATATATTTTAGCATTTAATACAACAGAGCATTTGAATTTAATTGCTCTCTATTTGCACAGTAAATGGGACAAATGAAAGGTTCTGCTGGTCGAAGTTAAAAATTAATAAAAAAAAATACTTTTGAAGTCATTAATCTCTCTTTTTTTTTTTTTTTTTTTTCCCTTGAAAAAGGAATAGATTCCTGCTTTGTTAAGTTCAGGTGTAAATAAAAGTCAGCAGAGGTGACAACTGCTCTTGCTTGCTATGACATGGATTTACCACTCACTCATTCTTTAGTTCATACAGACAACAGGAGCAACAGGAAAGCTGAACTTTTACCACCAGGGCTGCTTTTCACTTGCACTTTTGTTCCAGGTTGCTGTAACTGCCTGTTGAGCAAAATATGTATACTCTGTAAATACTGTAAATGCTCTTAGTATATAATGTCTGTTTTAGTTTGATGGTTTCAATCTTTCATTGAAGCAAGCATTGTGAAAATAAAACCAGGAAAGAAAATCCTCTTGTTTTTGGCTTATTTGCATTTATTTCCTACAGCATTTACCATGCGTGGAGAATTCTTAATAAAAGTCATATTATTGCGTTTCTCCGAGTTGCGTTTATTTTATACCTCACTCAGTAGACTCCTGCAGGTTGCAGCCTCAGGATGCCTGTGTGCGTGTCCAGATGCACCTGGTTTCACGGTGACGGCCGCTCAGCGCTGCTGCCGCCGCCTCCCCAGGGTAACGTCCCAGACTGCGTCCAGGGGGCCCAGAGGGAGCATCCCTGCAACTGCTTCCTCCTTTTGGGGAAAAAGAGGGGAATTAGGTGATGAATTTTCTCCTGCTACCCAGCTAACACTTTGGGCTGTTGCAAAGAAACAGACAGTTTCTGTCTATAACAGACCCAGAGCCTTATGGTGCAGAGTCCCTTGGTGCAGCCCCTTACTGGCACCTAGCAGAGGTGCAAATGTTCCCCCTTTCTGCAAGTAACTCCTCCAAGACAAAATGGGAATTTGGTTCCAGGCTTTAGCAGCTTCAAGCTGTGAAGCCTTCCCTGTGAAGGGAGCTACAGCCAGAAGCAGGGAGCTACGGCTCCAGAAACAGGCTGCAATCCAGGCAACACCCCCAAACAGGTGCTGCTGCCTGTTGCAGCTCACGTCACTGTTAGTTCACTGCCTGTTTCACAGCCTGAACGCGGGATCTCGCTGCTTGCTGCATGAGCCATAGTGACGCTTTCTGATCCCCAAAGGAACGGGGAGAGGGACTGATATTAGTAGAATGCTGTTAGCATTTTAGCAGGCACAGGCTCCTCCTCCACACACGAATGTGAAATGCCAACATAATCTGAGGGAGATAAAGCTGTAAAACATTAGCCCTGCTTAACTGCCACTCTTGCATGTAATCAGAGCGTTCTACAAGTCCTCTGAAATGCAGTGTGAAGCCTGATGTGGTTTCTAGCCTTCCTTTCTGCAGCTCGCTCTTCCCGGGCAGCTGTGAGCACCCAGCACCCAAAGCCGACAGCGAAGCTGCCGCAAGTCGCTGGCCTGCTCGGGTGCTGCTCGGGGTGGCTCTGAAACCGGCACCTCCGCAGAGGTGCTGAGGGCAAACGGGGTGGGCGGCTGCTCGTGTCTCGAAGGTGCCTCGAGGTCTGAGCGAAGGCCAAGTGCGTTTAGAGCAGGAGGGGATGTTCTCGCGTCTGCCGCAAGGTGCCGGCTCTGTCTTTGATCGCAGGAAACTCAGTCCTTGTGCTGCCTGGCCAGAATCGCGCACGCCTCTAAGGAAAACACAGCGAGAGCCCCAGCTCCCAAGCCAGGCTGGCACATCCCGCCCGCGCACGGCTGATGGCCGGGCACGCGGTGGGCCGCGGCAGGCGGGACGCGAACCTTGTATCTGCCGTGAGACACCGTCGCACCAGAGCCGAGTGTCTCAGCCTGGGGCAGAAGTCACACGCAGGCCTGTGCTCTGGCCGGCTCCGCCAAAACAGCCTCCAGGGACAGGTGGCAGGCGGCCCAGGCGGGCGGCCCTGCCCTGCTGCGGGCGGACTTCCGGAGAGGGGACTTGCATTTGTTCGGAAGAAGAAAATTCCTAGTGAAAAACAAAATAAATAATGTTCACATTGAATCTCTTTGCCTGACTGTGGGTACCCTTTTCTTGATGCGCCCCTTGGAGTCAAGCCCCCCTACACACACATACAGACTTGCACTAAAGTCGCTTTGCCCTGACTTACACCTGAGCCAAACAGGCACTGTTGCACCAGCAAACCAGAGGGTGAGAAACCATTTACCTCTCCACCTGTGTCACTAATTCCCTGCAGCAGCATTTGCCCCTCTGCCCTGGATCACTGGGAAAAATGGAGCTTTCTTTCTTCTATAAACCTGAGTGGCAACACAAAAAGAGTTTGGGGAGTAGTAGGGACAGTTTAAATAGCGAGTGTCACTTGAAAGCAGCTTTCCCGGGTGAGCCCAACTGCAAAGTCTGTGACAACACTGTGTCTGCAACACACATTCGTGCCCCTCTCTGACATGGTCTTAACCAAAGCAGCCCCTGTTATCCAAGGAAGGAGGCTTTGCTTTTCCCCCAGGAACTGAAGCGCCTCTGCGGGGGCGGCAGGACCGAGCGCCCACCCGGGCTCCGGCCACGCACCCAAGCAGGGCCGGGTGCCACTAGAGCTCCCCGCTGTTTGCAGCCGCCAGCTCAGCCCCAAACCTCACCCAGGCAGCGCCAGCGCCCCAGGCCCTGCAGCTCTTGCTGCCTTTAGTCTCCCCAGACAAGAAACCCACATTAGGAAAATACTTGTAAAAGTGCCTGGATGATGAAGGGCAAAACCACCCTCCTCCTCAGTGTCAGGGCTTCTTCGGCTGTGTTCAAGCTTGTGCCACACGGGAAACCCAGCCC